TGCTTTTTTTGGTGTTTTTTTTTTGGGGGGGGTGGGAGGGTTGGCCTGTACATTGGGAGTTATATCCAAGAAATCTTTGCCAAGAACAATGTTACAAAGCCTTTTTTCTGTTTCTGAGTTTTAGTTTTTCATCTTACATTTAACATAGGTTAAGGTGTTAAGCTACTTTGATTTGATTTCTGTTTATAATGCTCCAATTTCCTTCTTTTGCGTGTGAATATTGAATTTTCTGTTGCTGTTTTCCTGTTGTTTATTCCCATATTTCATCTCCCTATTCTTCATATCAAACTTTTGAAGGACCATTACTTTTTCTTCACCAACATATTTCTGCCTGGAAATAACTGCATTTAGATATTGTGCATACAATTATGATATTCATATTTTATTTTAGGAAAAATATTTCAGAAACTAATTCCTGTTAACTAAAAAAGTATTTCAAGTCAAAAAGTTATCAATGAAGCACAGATTATAAGTCCTGTACAAGACTAGGTGCTAGAGGTAAGTATACAGATAACTTTTGTAAATGGAAAAAAATACCATAATAATTCTGCCAACATCCATCTTTTTGAAAAGTACATAAAATCTCTTTTAACATTTAAGAACTTCTCATCCCTTTTCTACTTGAATTTATTTCATCTCAGTTCCCACATAAGCTTATACCAATGTAATACATTTTAGTATTTAAAAATACTTTGATCACCCTATCACATTTCCCTACCAAAAAAGGCCAATTTTCAAATTTCCAAGAACATAGGTTCTAAAAATTCTCWGTAGTATTGTCATTCGATTACTGAACACTATAGATCAAATAGCAAACATATCACAAATTATAATCTTTATAAATATCAAAAGTAAACTTTTACTATAAATACATGTCATAGCAAACTAGATTATGACCCTTCTGCCCCTCATCCCCTCCATTAAGTCACATACCCCAAAGTGAATATTACATATTACTAGAAAGACACATGGTTCAGGCTAATCCATTTTATATTATTCCATTTCAAATATTTGGGAGTGTAAAGGTTTCTGGTTATAGCATTTGTCATTTTTTAAACTCCTATATTATATAGCCAAAATCTCATTGGGGTTTGCCATTAAAAATTAGTTTTAATAATGAGCTGATAGCTCAATTTGGTCCCTCTCACATATTTCTGAAAGAAACTAGTTTTGCAAAAAATAAACTACCCAGTCATTAAGACTTATTCCCTCTGGCTGGCAGCAGCAGAACCAAAGGCAGCAGCAATGGTGATAGCCATTCAGGCAGCATTTTCCAGTAAATGGTTGGAGTTGGAGAATATCATACTAAGTGATAAGCAAATCCCACAAAATCAAAGGCCAAATGTTTTCTCTAATATGCAGATGCTAATTCACAATAAAATGGGGGTGGGGAGGGAGACTAGGGAATAATAGAATTACCTTAGATTAGGTAGAGGGAAGTGATGGGGGGGTATGGGTTTAGGAAAGATAGTAGAATGAAACAGACCTTATAACTGTATGTAAAAATGTGACTACCTAACCAATATGATTCTGTAACATGTACACTCAGAAAAATGAGAAATTATAGCCCATCTATGGACAAAGTGCACAAAAGCATTATACTGTCATGTATAACAATTAAAACAAATAAAAAATGTTACAAAGTTATTCCCTCTCTATACAACACTATCAAGATTTAGATCAGATGAAAGGCATTGCTTTATTGGTATAATGAGAGGAAGCAGAAAGGTGTCTAGCACACTCTGGGGCAGATGAATCTCAGAGACAAAAAAATGGAAGTTAACAACTTACAATCAATGCTGTTAAACCCTCCCCATTAACCTCCTGGAAAGTCTTCTTGTAAGCTAAGGTTACATGAAGGTTAAGGGTAAGATATGTGTGTTGCCCAATTTGAAGGTTGCTGCTTTAAGATACACACACATTTGTATAAACACAATATGATAGTAACTTTAAGTTTACAACCTTTTCTTTCTCTCTCCCTCTCTTTGTGTACATGTGTCCACACACACCGTGTGAGGGGGTGGGCCGGGGGAGCTGGAAGGAAAGACAGAAGATACCAAGTATGCCCAGACACCACATTTTTCATTTTTGGTAGTATTCTTTAATATTCTCTTTACCTTGGCCACTAAAATTCTATCTTAACCTGAATAAATGACACATGGGGAAGAGAGAAGAATGCTTTTAAAATAACATCAATAAAATTATGTTGAAGCTGGTATTAATATGAAGATAGACACTGCTATCACAAGTTATCAGTTCTGGTAGTTTAAATCTGTTCCACCGACATTGAAGAACAATATCTACCATAGAGCATAGTACTCAGAAAAATAATGACCCCCAGAGTGGTATAATTTTAATTTAATTGAATTAATATGCAATTTAAACCACTAGCAGAAATTCACTTCAGATTTTTTTTCTCAAAAATGGCATTCTTACTGTTTCCTATTATAGTATTCTTCATAGCTTATAGACACAACATTCATAATTTTTTTAAAAAAGCTTTTTATATTATTTTTACATATTGCCAAATGAACAATACAATCTGARGTAACTCTAAAAAATTATTACATTGCCTAAAAATAAGARAAGCAGGCTGAGCCATAGTCAGAAATTGTGACAGGGCCCATATTCTTTATTGATATTACTGTGAAATCCAAACCTACTCCAGTGAAAAAAGGTACCAAGATAGTCAATATCATACTCCGAACATCTGAACTTTGGTGAGGAGTTGGGGGAAGGTGGGAAAAGGTACAAGAGGCGACCTTCTACAACAAATATATTTTTTTAAAGCAATCAATTGTTTTGAAATTTTTAGATTACACTTGTATCTAGAGGAAATGTAATGATGATGTAAAAATACAAAAAACTGTCCAAATCTAGTCAGAGAGAGAATTTGTTGGAGGATGCAGTTAACAACTCCCTTTTGGGAAAAAATGAGCATTCCTTAGAAACAATGCCTAAGCAATTTCAAAAAAAAAAAAAAAAATCAATGGAATTAAGCCTTAGGAAAACCAGCCACTCACCTAACCAGTTGGCTATCAGTTAAGAAACTATTGACATGCAAATTCTTTTCTATCTGGTATCTAATTTAACAATGATGATTTAACCACTCTGTTTTCCTATGAAATGCTCCTATGAAAACTGTCTTTTAATCAACTTATTGGAGGATTTTTTCTTTGTAGTAAGATTGTAACACAAATACATGATTATAAGTGAACTGTGAGACAAGTTTTTTTCTAATGATTTATTTTATTCACCAAAGTTAATTAAAGCAGAAGATTAGGAGTTGGGGGAAGGTGACCATTTCTGGCTAAATGCAATAAAGATTYGGATTATATTTTGTCATAACCTAGCAGCAACACAATGCCCTCACAGGAAAAACTAACAAGTTTTAACTTGACAAATAGTAAACACAAACATGCACTGCAATCAAGAAAATAATTTCATTAACAAAGTCCAGCTTTTAAATAGTTACATTCAGGAGGTGTATATTAAAAAAAAAAAAATAGACCCTCTCACCAGAATTTAAAATATTGAGCTGTGTCACTTCTCTTTACTTACCGTGAGAGGGGGAAAAAATAATTTCCTTGCTTTTTCAACAACTAATTTTTCTAAATCATGTTTAAAAATAGAAAACATTTCTACATCTTCAAATTAAAAGTTAGATTATCGCTTTATTTGATGACTTCGGGTGTCTCAACTGCTTTTGTTAACATTTATCAAAACCCAACTGGCCAAAACAAAAGTGTTTGATGGTTTGCTTTTTAGTTAAAAAAAAAAAAAAAAAAATCAGAAAGCGCATCACAGAAACAATCAAAATACGCCGAGGACCGATTCTTGCTTAAAAACACTGCTCTCTTCCACCTTCCATTCCAAGATACTGAGGCGAATGGATCTCCTTCCACATTACATTAATATAAATTCTAAAGTATTTTCTCGACTACCATGTAACAAAGTTGTGGCCTTTATTGGCAACAGCTGAGACTTTTCAATTTAAATTTTAAGACAGGCTTAACAACTATGAAAACGTATCTTCAAATAAATTCTCTTGTATTGAACCCATTCTCTTGAGCTTACAGTTGGGCTAATTTATTACGTGATGCAGAAAGACCTTCTACCAGAACAGTGACCACAGATGAGAGACTCCAGTTGACAAAACTCTACTTGAGAAGGTGGCCAGGGGCGTCTGTGATACTAATTGGCGGTTACCRAGGATAAATTTCCTATAATTACTGTTCATTCGTTTGCCTGCTTAGCCTGAAATGATCTAGAGCTTCGGGGGTTCGTTATGAGAACCCCATAGACTGTGACATCTCAGCTCAAGACTGTCTTCTCTGCTGAAAGAACCCAGGGCGCTGACAGTTCTAGGGGAGCGGCCGAGATCTTGGCGCTCTCTATCCCACCTGCCGAGCAGTGTGCTGGAACCCGAGTTCTTTAGTGAATAACTGTGCGACCCTGAGGTATTCGCCCACTAAGTGCTTCCAACAGGCCGAGGGGATTAAAACAGCGCCCTCCCAGATAACCCAGGGAGCGTCCCGGTCCCGGCCACACAGAGGCGACAGCGACAACCCCTAAGGCGTTATTAGGCTGAGCCGACTCGCACCCCACGCTCGGATACCGGGTGGACGCGGAGAAAAAAAGACGCGCTAGAGGGCGCCCCCGAAGACGGCTTTCGGCCCAACGGCCGCGGCCGCGAGCAACGCTCTTACCCAGTTCCACTCCGCCTCCTCGCGTCGCCGCGGCCCAGCCCTGTCCCGTCGCGGAGGCTCACGGGACACGTAGTACGCTGCTCTCCCCGGCCCCTCCTCCAGCCCGGCTCCGCGAACACCCTCCCAGCTCCCGCGGGTCTGACTTCCGGTTTCCTTGCGCGGCCCTAACGTGGAGCTCCGGTAAGGCGACAGCCGCTTTTCCGGCTCTGAGGCGCTCTTCCACCTCTTCATCCCGCCCTCGACAAGGCTTGCCCCTGCGGCGCGTGACGCGGCTACTAGCGCGCGCGAGTCCCGACGACGCCAGCCGGCGCCGACGGGCCTGGGTCTCTCTCTCGCGCGCGCGCGCGTTGCTGGGTAACGGGCCTGCTCCTGTGGCCGCCGGGCCCCTCCTGCCTCGGCTCGCCCCTCCTTCCAGAACCCCCAGGGCTCCTGCCCAAGGGCAGGGCTGCGTCGCGAGCTCCGCTGAGGCAGAAGAAATGGGAATCCCTTTGCGGCGCACCTGGAGCCGCCACCTTCTCTGGGGAAGCAGCGGTGTCTTCGAGGAAACCGGAAGCCCTTGGTGACCCCTGGCGACCTGGGTTGTTTTCAGGCGGTTTCCGTACACTGGGGAATCGAAACTCGGCGGCCCCAGGGGCGGCCCCACGTAGCCAGGGTTCAGGGTGAGTGAATCGTTTGGGCTGGGTGGGAGCTAGCGTGCCGGCAGTGCTGGGATCAACCTCCATGCTGTAGTGGGTCTAAGCCACACGTCATTTTTCCCTCACCCTCTCCCACGCCCCCTCCCTTGGGGAGCTGCCCACCCCAGGCTTCCCTGGCCCGTGACATCCCCGCGCCTTAGCTGTTCCAGGCCCCTTCTTGTCCTTCACTTTACTTTTCACCTATTGCTCATTTGCTTCTATGCTCTGATTGACTGGGGCTTTTTCCAGTTTTATTTCATTCACTGAGATGGCATTTATATCGGAAAGGAAAGAGGGACGTGTAACTAGGGCGGTACTACCTGGGCGTCCGAGCAGTAAACATCTGCCCTCTGCACCTTGTCGAGGGCTGGCAAGCTGTAGGTATTCGCCATTTCTCCGGTGTCTAACCTGTCGATTCCAGTAACGTTTTGGATTATTTCGGTTGCAAGGTAGGCTAACACCCAATCTCCCACACACAAGGAGCTCGAATAATTGAAAGTGAAATAAAATAACCACGAAAATTGTAATACTGGTAGATCAAAACAAATGGCCTCCTCCGACGTATTGGAAATACTGTAAGGTGATTGAAGACACTGATGTATCAGGGTTGAAATTGACCTTGCTCCTTAAACATAGAAGACACTTTCTTTTTTATTATTAGAATTTTAAAATGGATTGAACCATATCTTAGGGCATAACTTAAATTCCACTTCTTTTTAAACGCTCTAATTTGCCCAATCTGATAATCAATATTTTTTTCTGTAAATTGGGAGTGGTAGATTATTCACAAGATGATTATGAAATTTTAATGCATTATTGTTTGTAAATGTAAATTTTATGCCGATATAAAGTTTTAATATTAAAGAGACAATGTAGTGTAATGGAAAATGGTAGTGGATTAGATCAGAACTCCAGAATCTAAGCACTGAATTTTCCATTGATGCATTTGACACTTGGAAAGAGGTCTTCCTTCTCCTTTTCCCTATCTTTAAAATTAGGGTAATGCTTACTTTCTAGGACAACAAAACATAGTTTATAAGAGTTATGTTGGCCTTGGAGTCAGCTATCCCTCTTCATGTCTCATTTACTCCTTCTGTGAAATGGGGATATTATAGCCAACCTCAGAGGTTTTATGTAAGTTTGATGAATTCTTATGAAGAATAAATGAGATAGTTGCCCTAAAAGGTAAAGCATACTACTTAGTGTACCATAACTATCTGATTAATATTAGTTAACAAGCGCACACCTGTAATCCCTGCGGCTCAGAGGCTGAGACAGGAGAATCTGCGGGTTTAGAGCAAGCCTCACCAATTTAGCACCATCCTGAGCAATTCTGCAAGACCCTGTCTCTAAAGAAAATTTAATAAGTATATAATAATTTCTTATTTAATACTTCCTGTTCTTCTAGGTGCCCATTGTTCTATTAAATTRTTCATGTTTTTCCCCCTTTAAAAAAAGAAAAGAAAATATAAAAAAGGGCTGGGGATGTGGCTCAGTGGTTAAGCCCCTCTGGGTTCAATCCCCTGTACAAAACAAACAAACAAACAAAAAGTTAACAACACAGAACATTATTATAATTATTAAGTAAAATAATGTGATACCTTTTTTATAATCCATGACGAAGTGGAATCAATGCAACTGTTTTATGGCACTAATATTCTTATCATTGTTAGGAAATATTTATTAGTAACACCAGTGTCATTTATTAATGCATTATAAATTACTTAAAGGAATGAAAAGAAGTAGACTGCTGTTTTACATTAAGCTATCCCTGAAACAGTCTTAGGATTCCCTGGCCACACAAACTAAATTTCTGAATTAAGGCAGTTAGTGAGTCAGTGAGGACCATAAAAATGAAACTGGAGTTTTCATATTGTGTATTTGATGCTGATTTTATTTTTTGGGCACTTATTGAATAGTAGATTAAATTTGATTACTAAGGTACCTAGATTAAGAGATCAGATCGTATCTTGAAAAAAGGCACTTAATAATCCCTTTTTTATAAACTGGGAATCCCTGCCCCTAATTGTTTCATTACTATGGACAAAGAGCAGTAAATGTTGGTCTCTCTGCCTCCTTAAAACTTAATCCTTGTGCCATTGTATGAAATGGGCTCAAGAATATCCTAGTCTCAAGAGATAGAAAGGTGATGGAAATTCTAAACAAGATTCACTACAGGGAACAATACAGAATAGAGGAAAAAGCCTACTATGTAATTTTGATTCAAACCCCAGTTACTTACTGCTGATGTGATTATGGGCACATTTACCTCACATCTGAGCCTCAGTTTCCTCACTGAGATAATAATACCTTTCTGACCAAGTTTAGTGTACACTTGAGGTAATGTGTATATTTGACCTGTTACTCAGTTTCTGGTACAAATGTGAAATTCCTTCTATCTGTTCAGGTTGCTATTCTGTATTTGGATTAAAATTTTGCCTTCATAGTTTAGTAAAGTCACATCTTAGTGAGATAGTCCAACTGTCATTTATAGATGGGAAAATTTAGATCCAGAGAGGTAAAGTGAACTAATCTATAGTCCAGGTGGCAGATCTTAGAATAGAACCTGGCTTTCTGAGTCCTAGACCAGTGTTCTTTCTACCAGAGTTCTGATTTATCCAGAATCTTATTAGGAAAATCAGAATTAATTTTTTGTTCTATTCAGAATGTTGCATCAAGGGCATAAATTTAGGACACAGTTTATGTGAATTCACATCCCAGCTTTGCCACTGATCTGTTGGGTAACTACAGATAAAACTTTATATAAATAGGATAATAGTACCTACCTAAGAAGTAGGAAAATGCATATAAAAGCATTAGTACTTGACATATAGCAAGTGATCAGTAAATTAGTAAACATAACAATATTGAAAAATGGCAGGATAATCTTATTTATTTTCAGATAAAAGACCAGTGTAGTGTCAGAAGATATTTCAATGTTTTGTAGTCTACCAAACCCCAGTATATGTAATTTGAAGAAGAGAGACTCCTCTCCGTGTCAATTATAGTGAACACTGAAATTTAACATCTTTTAAAACAATACTGATTAATAATGTTTGAACCTTTTCCCCAGGTGTCTTTCCATTAGCCTCAGATAGTATCCTTTTCCGCCCACCTTATCTGATAAATAGCGCCCTCTTTTCTCCATTATCATTCCTGAAATTTTATTGTTCTCATCAATAATTGTCATCTTTCACCTCAATCCTTAAATCTTCATGAAAGATTTAGGTGGTGTTTACCAGTTGGTACCATAGATCTACCCTTGMCTACAGATGTTCAAGAATAATAGTTATAATTGGAATTCTATGAATCATATAGTGATTTGTTAACTCTTACTGAATCTAGATGAGTAGTTTTTACATTAGTATGGAACTTAAAATTGTCTGGGGTGCTTATTGAAATGCAGTTTGATATTTCTACTCATATATTCTAATTTACATAGATCTTTATTGGAGCCAAGTAATCAATATTGTTGCACAGAACTCCAAGTAATTCTAAGGCAGTGGTCCCTTCCATACCTCACTTTCTCTAATCCTGCCCTACATCATGTCCAGCTTCTTGGAATGTCCTTGAAAAAGCCAAAGTTCTTTGTGGGATGTCTCTGGAATAATTTATTATTGATTTTCATGATTGAGAGAAATCTATTTGTATTGGGGCAATGTTTTGACATTTATTAAGTTTTAAAAGTTAATTTATTAATTCCTGCTGGACTACTGAAAATATTGTCTTTTTTGATAGTGTGTTCTCACTCTCTTTTTTTGGTGGGAGGACGGGGCTGGTGCTAGCTGTCTAAACACTGGGCATTCTACCCCTAGCCCAGTAATTCTAATTTTCACTGGCAATATTCTACTCCTGGCATTTATTTTTAAAATATGAGTAATTGAAACAAACGTTTGCTATTTTAAGAAAACTTAAGTTATGATAAATAAAATCAGATTTAGGTAAATTTTTCAAAATGTTAAAGCTAGCTTGATCTATTTAAGTGTAGTGATAAGAAATTAGGTTTTTACCACTTATCTAAAAAGTCAAATTTATGGGCCTGCTTATTTGTATATCTATTAAGAAACATTGTAACACAGCAAAAAATATATAAAACTGAGCCTTTGCATTGAGGCAAACTACTGTGGTTCCCCTTACCTCTCTGTAGAAATAAGGTTAAGGAAGGATAAAGGAGGCTTGTATAAATAATAAAACTGAAGGCTACAAATATTCTACTTTTACTTTGCCCTCAGATTTCTTTTCATTGTAATAATAAATATAATGGGATATTTGCTTCATATTAATTGGTTTCTTTTTAAGATCTTATTTTCCTGGACACTATGGCTTTTAATCTCCAGAGGTCCAGTTTGTTCAGAATAATAGAGTATATATTTACATTCTGATGCATTTGATTTTATATTTATTTTGGAATAGAAATTAAAATTCTGATTCTCATTTTACAGTGAGTTTAAATACCAGCTGCTTAAAACAATAAAACTTGATGTATGTAGTGCTAGTGGATTTTCTCTTGTTAATGTGACTAGTTCTCATATAATTTTTAGTATAGATAAACAATTTTTATACTATTTTCCAAATCATATTTATAGAATCAATACATAGAATGATATAAAACTTGAAAAATCTTTTATATGCAAACAGTTTTCTTTATTTAGACCACACAGTGTGCAATTTTTTGATAATTTATTAATTAAAAAGATAACAGAATGAACAAGTCTGACTACTCATTTTACCTAAAAGTGACAAGCTATCATTGTATAAAATGTGGTATTGTTGTCTTAGTACACACCCCCTACCTTCCATCTAAAGTGCTTATGAACTTTCTAGCAAGTTCCTTGTTTTATAGTTCTCGATGAAGGTTTGCAATAGATTCATTGGAGAGGGGAAAATATTGGTAGCTCACATTCTGAAATCCAAGTACCTCTGCTGCATACTAATTGTCTTATTCTGGCTAACCTTCATAACCTTTCTTGTTCCCAGTTTTCTCATCTGTAGTCCTAATTAGGATGGTCCTGAAAATTAAATGGGGCAAATATTTGTAAACAGCTAATACTAAGTAGTTCATTTAGTGAGTTGTATGAATCAGCTTTGTATTACTAAGTGAAGTGCCTGATAATGTGCTACTTATTAAGAAAAGGTTTATTTTGCTCAGTTTAGGAGGTTCAATTGCACTTCCAGGCTTTGGGCATCTGGCAAGGATGGCACATCTTGGCAAGGACACATATAAGCACAAACTACCCATATCACAAGCCAAGAAGTGGGAGCAGAGAAGACTGGATCAGTGTCTTGAAGTCACCTCTGAAAGCATGCCCCCAAAAACTTACAGATCTCCCATAAGGTCTTCTCTCTTAAAGGTCCATAGTACTTAACTRCCAGTACCAGCAGCCTTGTGGAGTGGACCTTTGAGGGATACTCATCCAAACCAAAGCAGTCATGAATGTTTTTAATGAATATGTGTAAATATTTTTATACTTTAACCATGTCCACTTCTATCTTTTTAAAAATTCTGCAGAATAAAGACCAAAATATATGTCTGTCTATCATAAAGGATCATCTCCATTTATCTTCATCGAATGTTTCTAATCTCATCTATCATTATGTTTTTCAACCTCCCCCATACTTTTCCAGATTTTTTAGCTTGTTCCTCCTGCTAGAAGAAAGCAGAATGTAAAGGTTTAAGAACAATAAGTACAATAAAGATAACTACACAGTCATTTGATCTGTTATGGTATCTTCTTTGAAAGTCACTCTTCCCTATCTGCAGTTTGCATCATTCTGAATTGTTTCAAATATATTACCTACCTTTAGGTATAATAATTATTTTTCTGGGCAGCTGTCTCCCACACTGAGTTTTCTTGCTTTTTTTCCTTTCATCATGATCATTTCATGATAAAAATGAATACAGATTACACAAGTGAACAAGTTAAGTAACTTGAAATAGTTGAAATTAGGGGAAGTAAACCAGTTTAGAGGAGGAAATCTCTAAGAATGTAGCTTGCAGTAGTTATTTATAATAAGAATCTTGACATTTTTTGGATACTGCTAACATAGTCCATACTTGTTTTTGAACTTTATTGATTACCTGGGAAAAAATTCTAACAATAGAAATTGCTCATATGTTTAGAAAATTTTAAATTGGAATTGGTGTGGATTGACTGGATTGTAGGTTTTACCTATTCAAAATACATAGTGTACACATTTATTTTTGCCTACATTTTCTGTGATCCTACAAAGACACAGATTGTTTAGATACTCCAAAATTTGATTTCAGTTGAGAGCAACCAGAAAGTTTCAGTTATAAAATTAGAAAAGCAGAAATATAATGATAGTAGACCAGACTCAGAAAAACACAAAGCCTTTTGTTAATTATTCACATTGTCTGAGATAAAGCAAAACAAACTATAGGCATTAGTTGACATGGGGAAGGGAGTTCCAGAGGAAAAGCAGGCATAGTGAAAGATGAATTTTGTGGTTGACTTTGTTTATATCTAAACTCTCTACTATTTTACTTTGGAAAAAAAAATACTTAATACCCTTCTACTTTAATTTTTTGATCTATAATGATCTTAAAGTCTAATATTAGTAATCAAATTTTATTCCAAGCAAGGAATAGTAAAAAAAAACAACTTTTTTTTTTTTTTTAGCAATCATTAGTTACTAATCTATGTGAAATTCCATTGGTATTCTTATATAGAATGCTGTATTTAGTGTTTTATTTTAAAGTAAAAAATATTTGGAAGAATTCTTTTAGATTTTCTAACATGACCTACAATCCTTTTTACTCTTTTTTTCCCAGAGGTCTTAAAAGGTTTCATCTACAAGTTCTTCCATAGCATTTTTCCAGGTACATAACTCTTGGATGAGAAGGTAATATCAAACTTAATAGCAAAAGCAGATACACAAAGCAAGTATATATATTCAGTAAGTAAAGAAAGTAGCTGGCTGCTGCTACTTTCTGTAGGTTTTGGAGTCAGAGTTTGATTTGAATCCTATTTTATCCACTCATGTAATGATCGGTATTGAATACTTCATGCACACTGATGAGTTGGGGACATAGTGATGAACAACATAGACATAACGTCTGCCCTCATAGAGCTAAAGTTTCACTAGCTTTAGGCAATAAGCCCTACCTATTTAGATAATCCCTACCTGACAGAATGTTTATATGATTAAATGAGATAATATTGAAAGAATGTAGTGTGTGGTACTAGGACAGTAGACACTCAAATGTTAATTTGTCTTCTATTGTGAACATATGACAAACATTACTAGTGTGGAAAGAAAATAGTAGAGAAGGTATTAAAATTTCTATAATATTATGTCATGAATTTGAAGAATTTTTGAAAATTGACAGTTTTATAAACTATAAAATCTTGCTACTGTAGATCTGAAAGTGTAAATGTTAATGAGGAAAAAATATATGGGCATGAAGTGTTTAAAAATTCTGATTCTTTGGTGAAATTGGTATTTCGTAGATTTTTATAGAGTTTCCTGATAATAGATTATGGTTTTAATTGCTTTATGGTTATGCTTCTACCCCAACCCCTTGACAATCCATGTTTTCTTGGGACTGCATCCAGAATGCTCTACCACTGAGATACATTCCCAGCCCCACTGATTATTTTTTTAATATAACTTTTTTAGTTGTAAATGGACACAATACCTTATTTTGTTTATTTGTTTTTATTTGGTGCTGAGAATTGAACCCAGAGCCTCACACATGCAAGGCAAGCACTCTACTGCCAAGCCACAACCCTAGCCCCAAATTTTTATTTTGAGATTTTACCCTGGCTAACCTTGAACTTGTGATCCTCCTGCCTCAACTCCTGAGTTACTGGGATTGCAGGTGTGTGCACCCCTACACATAAACTCTTATGCTTCACTGCCTCTAAAAGAAAATAGGATTTTTTAAACATTGACCCAGTATTCACATTATTTTGAATATATCTTTTTTCTTCTCATTTATTCAGTGAGATATTTGTATTTCATGTTTCTTTTTTTCTTTAAAATAGCTGTCATGGATGCACTAGTAGAAGATGATATCTGCATCCTCAATCATGAAAAAGCCCATAGAAGAGATACATTGACTCCTGTATCAATATATTCAGGAGATGAGTCTGTTGCTTCACATTTTGCTCTTGTCACTGCATATGAAGACATCAAAAAACGACTTAAAGATTCAGAGAAAGAGAACTCTTTCTTAAAGAAAAGAATAAGGTTTTTGGAAGAAAAGGTAATTTCTTCTATCTTCATTATGATTTATTATGTGAAAAATAATTCAAAATATATTTTAAATTTCAGATATTTTCTGTCTTATATTCCATGATTGTGCTAAATTTCTAAGGATATCTCTACAAATCTCAAACCCTGGCATTAAGTGTATACTGTTTTTCATATAATATGTGCTTGCCAAATGTTTGTAGATTAGGTTTTAACAAATTGGAGGAGTTATATTTCTAGTATTTTTCTTTCTTTTTTTTCAGATTGCCTTACCTTCATAACTGTATGTATCTTACTCAGAAATTTGAAATCTGTGCAAAAATAAATAACATACCAAAGAAGAAAATTAGGTTTCAAAGGAGAAAGCTCTGGAACTTTGTTTTAATGTTTAGTAAGGTCTTCCCCAGAACTGAAATCTTACCTCCACATTCTCATTTATTCTTTCACATACATAATAGAAATAATTATTTTAACTGATAAATTAATGTCATTTACTTTTTCATTTAGAAAGCTGACACTTCCATATGTTATGAAGTAAGATAACTGATTTACTATGTCACCAGACTTACTATTATTTTCAGTGTTGGAAAATCTTCCTCAATCATCCATTTATTTTTGAGTTTTAAAGTTTTGACTTCTTAGTTGTGTTTCTTCGTCTCAGATTTGTATTTTGTCTTGTAAATAGCAGCTTCCATAAAGGGTAAAGAAAATGAGTTCTCAAAAGCCAAAGCAATGAATTATCCTATATTTTAAAAACTTGAGGATGAAGCGTGGTAGAGTTCACTACATGTAGGGGAAAGTAAAGTGAGGGGAGTCAGTTATAAAAATGATGATAATTTCATTATATTCACATGAATTTTACAGTAATTAAGTAAATTAGTAATACACTGGGATAAACTGAGAAAAGGAAACTTTTTGGAGCTCATAGCTGTATTCATTTTAAAATTAAGTACAAAAGTGGGATTTTATGTATAGTTACCTTTGGAAATTATTCTGTACTTTGTGACCAGTAAGCGTATTAATTCTAATTCTGGAATAATAAGGGATTTAATGAACTAACACATTTATTTATTAAAATGTCAAGTATGACTTAATTCACTATTTTTTTCTGATAGTGGAAATTAGATGCTATAGACTAAGTACTTCAAAAGAATAGTATACTCCATTGTAGTATGATGGTTTAATCAGATACTATAAAGGATAAAATTCTAGTTATGTAAAAGCATAGAAGGCTTTTTAAAAATATTCTATATTGTTTTGCTTTCTTTTTTTAACATGTTTTATTTTTTTAATTGTACACAATACCTTTATTTTGTTTATTTATTTTTATGTGGTGCTGAGGATCGAACCCAGGGCCTTGCACTTGCTAGGTGAGCACTCTACCGCTGAGCCACAACCCCAGCCCTGTTTTGCTTTCTTAACCAGTAAAGATTAATTATATGGAAGAACAATATTCACTTATAGACTAGGCTCTATCCCTGCACCGAAGTAGTATGGTGCCATCAGAAGACTGACTGACTTTTTTTTTTTCCTGTAAAATATCCTCTTATAACTTCCTTTTTTGATTTTATACCATTAGCTTGTAGGAGCTCGATTAGATGAAGAAACAAGTTCTGTGGGACGAGAACAAGTAAATAAGGCCTACCATGCATATAGAGAAGTTTGCATTGATAGAGATAATTTGAAGAGCAAATTGGACAAGATGGTAAGTTGTTTTGAAATAATTTATCTGTATGTTGCAAATGAGTTTTCTCCTTCATAAGGTTTAAAATTTTAAATGAGCTTATATATTTACATTTATTAATTAAAAATATACATGCTTAAGGCAAAGTGGAAATGATTAATAATTATATTTGTAACTTACAAACAAAAATAAGTACTTAATACATAATGATATGTAGGACTTAAATACATATAATGCCACTAACTTATTTTGAAAAATCATGACATGGAAGGGAGTCATTATATTTAAAATGTCATATGTTAGATACAGCAAATTAGTAAGAAACTGAGTTCATTTTCCCATCTTGCCTTTAAAGGCCTAGAATGAGTTTTTTCAACATCTACCTGAAAATTAGCATATACTACCAACTTATAGATTTTATTGAATGTAATTTGGCATTTTCCCTACTTAACTAGAATAAAGACAACTCTGAATCTTTGAAAGTATTGAATGAGCAGCTACAATCTAAAGAAGTAGAACTCCTCCAGCTAAGAACAGAGGTGGAAACTCAGCAGGGTATGCCAATTACTTATTATAAATATTCTAACAGAATCATTTTTCTATATGTGTGTTAATACTATTATTTTTAGGCTTATGTTTTTCTGTTTTGCTTTCACTCAATATTGACTCCTTTTAACTTCAGTTAGAAATTATACCTTTTTAGAGAAAAATTTGTTAATTTTTATCTAGTATTAGTTTGTGATGGAGTAGGAAAGGAGTTTAAAACTCCATCCTCATCAAAACTTCCAGGTCCGGTCTTATCCATCTTACAGAACATTTTGCCTAGACATGTAGTCATGGAAGAGTTTCAGTTTTTTTGTTTGTTTGTTTTTCCTGAAGGTTTTTAAAAGCCACAAATGAGATGTTGGTGTTGGAAGTTAGATCTGGGGTTGCGGATTGTAGTCTGTTCCTATGAACATTCTCATGAGATAAACTGAAGAATAAGAATAGGCTTCTGAGAGATCTTTGAATACAAAATGTATATGAGATCTCTTATGGTAATTGGTTGGGCTTTTTTGTAGATGGAAAGACTAAAAGTACTAAGTCAAAGATAAAGCAGTGTACAGCTTTAAGTTTCTGTAGTATAATGTTTATGAATAAAATTGTTTTGACACTATGTCCTGGATTTGTTGGTCAAACTTTATTCTTTCTGAAAGGACTAGATGAAGTGATTAGCTGAACCTTAGTTTATTATTTTTGTCACTGTCTTAACATTGGCTTATGCAAAACAGATTACTGATATGCTACATTTTAGCATTTGTTTATGGGTATGGTATCTTAAAATTCTGTACTGACAAATTTATACTTTGACTTAAGTAACAGAATCAGAGATGGAGTGGTTATTACATTCTAAAACAAGAACATTAGCTGTCTTACTCTTTAGCATAGATATTTGCAAGTAATTGCTATTTCTTTTAAAACAAAACTATAGTTGTACATGTTTGTATTTTTGTTATCTATATTTAATCAGCACAACATTTTTAGAATTGAAGTCAATGTAAAAGGCAAAGATAAAAGTTTTTATATTATTCATCCTTTTTGTAGTGATGAGGAATTTAAATCCACCTTCATCAAACTGGGAGGTGGAAAAGTTGAGCTGTGACCTGAAGATCCATGGTTTGGAACAAGAGTTGGAACTGATGAGGAAAGAATGTAATGATCTTAAAATTGAGCTGCAAAAAGCCAAACAAATGGTACTACAAAATTATTAATTGGGAAATTAAGTATTCTTTGTGCATTCTATGTAGGATTTATCACAAAGTATTAAACTATGGATTTACTATTAATTGTAATTACTAATATTCATTCTTTGAAAAGTTCATGTTATCTTCTCCTTTAATCATTTCTGCTAATATTGGATACATTGTGTACTTTTTAGCCTGACCTTAAAATTTTGTAATTCAGTTTTTGAAGACTTATTTTTAAAAGGCTTGTAAAGTTATTTATTGTAACTATTTTTTCAAACTCCCTTTCCTTCAGTTTTCTTGTTTTTTTTTCCTATAAAGTTTAAAGAAAACTAACATTTTAAGTTTCCTATTTTATTTAACTTAATAATTTGATTTAAACATTGCAAAGACAACTTGATTTTTAGAATTCTTTCAAAAATCTACCACCAACAAAGGAAACTGTAGTTTGCTTCTTTCTAGAAGAATAATACTTTTAAGGGCAACATTTAACTATTAGCAAATACTTGAGAATTCAAGTGCTGGAAAAGAACCAAACCTGCCAAGCTGCTATAGTGTGGTTAGCCTAACGTCATCCACTAAAACATAAGCTGATTTTCAGGTCCTTCCCAGGAGTGTGTTTACTATTAATATACATTAAGCTCTAATAAGTATGGCCATACGTTTTCAAGTGGATATAACACTCAGAATGAAAGAAAGTGATAAAGAAATAGGGGAGCATGAGAGTACTGTATCACATGCAAAATATGAAATAGTTATTGAAAGAAATTGAAAAGCTTAGTTAAAGCCTGAAACAAATAATAATTTCACATATCCATGTATTTCACACTAGATGTAATCAGTTAAATAATTTTTAACTCAACCATTTTGACCACCAGAGCATTCCAATACTATTGAGGAAGTATGTCTGCTATTCCATGTTCTTCTGGGATCTTGCTATCTAAAAGAGGAACTACCTCCTGTACTTCTGACTGCCAACCAGGATTCTGCCCTTGAATCCCAAGTGTTCATAGATGGAGCAAACACTTCTCTCTTCTATAATGTAGTCTTTATCAGGGGCAGCCCACTAGATAAGAATGAGCCAGGATAAGAATAACACAGTATTCTGCCTTGGCTATAACCTGAAGAATTCCTCTGAACCAAGCAATAAGAACTTACTTTGGCGTCCCCAGCTCTGGTATAGGGGAAACATAAAAATTACTGTCACCTCCTGTTAGAGCCAATAAAAAGCCAATGGTTTTGTGTTTCCTACTTGACATTGGAAGTTGATTTTCCCGGCCACACACTATTGTTTCTTCAAAAGCTTCCAGCATCTTTTCCTTACAAAATTTACACTTTGAAGCTCTGAGTTCTAATTGTTAGTGTATATATTCTGCTTGATATTGTTTGATGTGTTTTGGTCAGCTTTTTGTTACTGTGACCAAAAAGACCTAACAACAACAATTAGAGGAGGAAAAGTTTATCTTGGGCCTTATGGTTTGAGAGGTCTTAGTCCATAGGTGGCCAGGAGAGCCCAAGCTTAGGCAGAACATCATGACAGAAGGGTGTGATGGAGGAAAGCAGGTCAGGACATGGCCATCAAGAAGCAGAGAGAGAGTTCCCCTCACCAGGACAAAATATAAACCCAGAGGCACAGCCCCAATGATCCACCTCCTTCAGCCACACCCTACCTGCTTTCAGTTACCATTAAATTAATTCCCTATCCAGGAATTAATTCACTGATAGAATTAAGGCTGTAATAACCCAATCATTTCACCTCTACATCTTCCTGCATTGTCTCACATTATTTGCTTTGGGGGGATACCACATCTAAATCACAACAATAACTATTATACATGGTGAATATTTTATTGTAGAGTAGGAAGCTATGCTACAGAATCTTAGAAGTCTGGCTCATAATTGTGCTGCTTATTAACTGTAAAATTAGTAATTTCATTTAACTTATTAGGGAATTTATTTTCTCTAGATGTTAAGTACCTATTTTTTTCATGAAAGTTAAATTATTATGTATAAAGCAGTTAGCATAGTGCCCAGAACTTAGTGTATTGAGTAGCAAATCTTATCCATAAGACTTAATGAGGGTAATCCAGAGGGGCAGTGCTCTTAGGTCACTGTTTGAGGGGCTAGGGCATAGTTTGGTTACTAGTAGTTATTCTTTTCCACTAGATGGTGCTGGGGAGTGAATTTACTTTTAGTTTAGATCTATTATAAGCAAACTGGTCACAGAAAAACAGATATTTATAGTGGAAGAAACTTTTTTTTAATGATGAAATTAGAGACAACAAACTTTTAAGGGTTGAAGGTGAGATAAAGGAGGGGGAAAAGATTTAAAGCATTGTACCCACTCTAGCATTTATCTAAGATAGAGGCTATGAAGTGAAAATGTTCATAATTACCATAAAGAAATGAACTGAGGATTTAAAAAATGGAAATAACAATATCAAAGGTTCCAAATTGAAATCTTGATGTTGTGAAATCTTGATGCCCTTTTAAATTTATTTCAGAGGTGTTGCTGATTAAAATCCTCTTGGATGTGGGACTCTTAGAACAATCCAAGAAAGAAATTTATGTTCACACTAATAAACTTGTTTATACTTATTACAGCCAAATATACAAACATTAAGATGATACTTTCTTTTCTATTAAATGAATTTTATAATACCTTCTGGAATGTGTAGAAGCATCCTACTTGGACATATTAGGGTTTTCTTTTCTTTAGTACCAGGTATTAAACCCAAGGTGCTTAACTACTAAGCCACATCCTCACCTGTTTTTTTTTTTTTTTAAGTTTTATTGATTTTATTTTTTTTAAATACATGACAGCGGAATGCATTACAGTTCTTATTTACACATATAGAGTACAATTTTTCATATCTTTGTATATAGAGTATGTTCATGCCAATTTATGCCTTTATACATGTACTTTTTTGCATTACAATTCTTACTACACATATATACTACAATTTATCTGTTTATATATAAAGTATGTTGACACCCAATTCGAATCTTCATACATGTACTTTGGATAATGATGTCCATCATATTCCACTGCCCTTGTTAATTCCCTGCCTTCTCCCTTCCCCTCCCACCCCCTTCCCTATCTAGAATTCATGTAATCCTCCCATTCTCCTCCTCCCTACCCCACTATGAGTCAGCCTCCTTATATCGGGGAAACACATTTGTTTTCTTTGGGATTGGCTAACTTGCTTAGCATTATCTTCTCCAAAGCCATCCATTTGCCTGCAAATGCCATGATTTTATTCTCTTTTAATGCTGAGTAAAATTCCATTGTGTATATATGCCATCCCTTTTTTTAGAGGCAAGGTCTCACTGAGTTGTTTAGGGCCTCATTAAGTTTCTGAGGCTGACTTTGAACTCACAATCCTCCTGCCTCAGCCTCAGTGAGTCGCTAGGATTACAGGTGTGTGCCACTGTGCCCAGCTAAGGTTTTCATTTTTGTTGTATAGTATACTCTCTTGATTAGTGTTTGGTGCTATTGAGGTCGAGGTTGCAGAGGTAATTCCACTTTTAGATTTTCTTTATCTCCCAGTATTCCAGCATTTACATTCAGAACAGTTGATCCTATTAAGAAATGCAAACTCTGTAGCTGAAGAAGTATAAGAAACTTTGGGCCAATAAAATTGGGGTTTTTATAGTAGACATCTGAGGTTCCTAAAAATASCCCATATAGGAAGGTTCAGACTGTGCTTTTGTGAATTAAAGGTTCTGAGAAGTCCTATAATATGCAAATTCTGTATAATTTCAATATTATTTCCCAAGAATTTGTAGCCATGGGTTCCCTGAAACTCCCATACTGCATGAGTTAGAAAACAAATCCATTATTACCTTCAGAACATTGCAAACTGATAACTGGCTGTAAATAATYTTTGAATGTTAGATCACTCTTTTTGTTAGACAGTAGCTGGAAAAATATTTTGAGGACTTTTTTATAATAATACAAAAATATGAAATACTCAAAACTTTAAATTTCTCATGAAGTTCATTCACATTTTCCTTGAATAAACAGAGTGTGATAATGTGTTGTACTATTTTGAATATAGACTTCAGATTGGTATGTTCAAAGATACATTTGTAGGACTCCCAAGTACTTTTACATGGGAGAAATTTTATTAATTTATTAATTTTCTAAAGAAAATTAAAATATTCTCTAAATAATTTAAAGTAATTTAGAAATATTTGTGATAGCTTGGTGATATTTTATTAAAATTGGATATGAAATTAGTTTTATGCTATTCAATTATAAGTATATTCTGTAAAATTTGAATCTTCTTTGGTAATACCAAACTGAGAATAAACAGAATAATAATTATAACTTTTTTAAAATTTTTTAAAATAAATGACAGGATCCACCTCAGGAAGACAGTATGAAGAGCAGAGATCTCCAAAAACTAAGCATTTCAAGGTATGAAAATTCTTCAACATTAAAATAATACATGTTTTCTTCTGTAGGTCACTTTGGGTAGGTACCTGGATTTCTGTTTTAATTCAACCTTAAAAACACAGCAAATAGATATTATTTTGATGCTGAATTTAACCTCTGATCACAATATACTTATAAAAACGTTTTAACTTTCACTTAACTAAAGCCATGAACTTAAGTGGTAAAAAGGTGCATATTATGATATCTTAGACAAAGCTTCTGAACATTAAATAATATTTTGGATCTGATTTTAAGGAACTAGCTTTGTGAAAGTATTCTGTAATAAATCCTGTTTTTTGAACATTAGAAATTACACATTTCTATTTATAGTAATATCCCTTTGTCTTAAGGGCAGTTTTGGACAATGTTCGTCTTTGGAATAGCATAAAGTTTAAGAGAGTTATTCCTCCTTAGGTTTAGAACAGAAGTAACTATCAGAGTTGATGCACTTCAGCCTTTTTTTCCCTCAAATACTTACCATTTTTACGTAAGTAACTTCTTTGTTTTAAATTAATAATTTTTGTTCCTATTATGTTAGGAAGGCCTCTCTACATGGGTATCTTCCATCTAATGAAAAATACTGATTTGACTTCAGTGTTCAGTTATTTGGATTTCAGAGTTTAGTGATTAAAATAAAATATGAATTGTCTCAGACCTATTACTGTTAAAAATTTGCTTGAGAGAAATGATCAACTAAGGAAAACAGGAAATCAGGAGAAKGCACTTCTGTAAAGTGACAGCAATAAATATTTCGTTTTTGTGGACTGGCCATGTAGTCATTTTGCTGGAACTATTCACTTCTGCTATCTGAACAGCATTTCGATTCTGTCTTCAAATTTTATGTATTTTTTCAGTAAGGAAGTTTTCCCTTTTTTTTTTTCCCCTTTTAAATAATGTATCTAGTACAGTGTCCATGTAAAAACTTTTCCTTAGAAATTATCTTCTCTGTCAGAGTTACCTTTTCTCTGATCAACTTGTGTTTCCCCTTATAATTGTGTTGTATTTATCATTTTTATAAAGCCACTTCAAATCATTTCTGAAAAGAAGCAGGGAACCAATAAATACATTGGTTATAGTAGCGTAAATAAATGGGGCTATATAAAAACAATATATTAGGTATACATAGTATAGAAGAAGATTTCTGCTTCCATTTGGGGATTACATAATTTGGATCATATCCACTGAGAATAACTTAAAAAGCTGACTACCTCCAAAAAATATTTCTTTGAAGACTTCAGATAACTATCAAGATAGTGAAGAATCTCTATGACAGGATTTGCAGGAGTTTGAAGGTCCAAGAAAGTGAGTAGTTTTTGAGGCTATGGAGATAGCTATAATTATGGCATCAAAGAATAGCCTTCAGCTCTCTAAAGCCCAGTATCATTTCAGAGGATCAGCTGAGAGAAACAGTTTTTAGAAAGAATTGCCTTACATTTATTCTAAAAGTTGCTTTGTGTTAAAACAATACCAAGAGTATGATATGTTAAATAAATGTGCAATTAGAATAAATGCTCATGGCTCTCCCCTTAGTACTCAAATACACTTTTATGTGTGTGTTTTTTCTTCAAATTAGTTTGCATTTAACTTAGTAGGCACTATGAAATACAAAACTGGTTAGGTTTCTCCCTTCTGATTAGCAACTAAAGAACCTAACCAAAGTTTTGGCCTAACTTTGGTAAACATAAGTTATATCATATATTCTCATGTTAGCCTCATTCCCACATATATTTTGTCTTTTGTTTATTCATTTCATCATTTATATCTATTTCCAGTATGTATTCCTGTGTTTTTATTAATCTTCATAAGTTACTTTATCTTCTTTTAAGTGAAACAATTCAGATGCTAAATTTACTAATTAGAGAAAAAGTATATAGGAATATATCAATAAAACTGTTAACTAAAAGCTTAGATTTTTTTTTTTTTTCAGTTTTAGGTGGACACAATATCTTTATTTTATTTTTATGTGGTGCCGAGAATCGAACCCAGTCCCCACACATGCCAGGCGAGCATGCCTCCACTTGAGCCACATCCCCAGCTCCAAAAAGCTTAGATTTTTTTAGTATTTTTTTTTCAGTAGTTATTAAGAAAATTCTTTATTTTTTTTTATTCCTCTRTATATTGCCAGGCAAAGGAAGGCACTATAATATTTTCTTAAGACATATTGACCCTTTTGATTTCTGGTGGCCTTTTATATGGTACTCATTATATTAAAAACAATTTTTTTTTTTTACAGTAACAGCCCTGTCAGAAATTTAGCTGGTGCCCTGTTTCAGTGTCAGCTTTAGGTTGATAATTTAGGTTTTAAAACCATATCTCTGTATGGAGTTACTGTCTTTCTTTTGCTCATCATCTGTAAACTTATATTATAGAGCTAGCTATATTATAGATGATATTAAAATATAAATTACTGGTTCAGAATATATGGATTAGTGTTTTTCATCCTCTTCTGTGTTTCTTTAGTGAACATGAAATTTTGTGTTAAGCATTTTAAAATTATGGAATAAAACACAATAGAACATATAAGAGTGTAAAATGATTTCTATTCCTTGCAGTCAAAAATGTTTAAAAGACACTATGGGGGAATCAAAGTTGGTAAAATACACACTTTTTAATTCTCTAGCTTTCAGTTAAAAATATGATTTTTGGAAATTAAATTAAGGAAATTTTCAAAAGCTAAAGAAAAAATTTGTATGATATAAGTACAAAATTAGTTAAGTAGGTTTTTCTTATATAGGAATATCTATTTCTATATTAAATAAATGCATATATAGTATCAGTTAAGAAGACTGGATTTTTACTCAATTTTATTTTACAATCAGGACTGTAACCAGTTCTTGAGATGCAGACAAGCAAGTTTCATAACATTTAAAAGTCAGAGGTGTGAAGTATCATTCTGGGCTGAGAAGACTGTATTGGCAGTTAACTTATTATAGGTGCTTGGCGAGTGGATGATGAGGATATGAGAAATGCTACCCCCAAAATGCAGTGATCAGTCATTAGACTGGACAGGTAAAAAGAGTTTTGAAAAACAACATAGTTTTACTTAAATATACTATTGAATCTGTTTCCTCATGTACACAATTAAGTTTACCCAGTTTGCCAAGTTGGTATGTATATATAATATAATATAATTATACATATTATATAATTATATAAGGTATATATAATAAATGCTCTTATCTTATTTTTGTTTGGTGATGGCACCCAGGGCCTTGCACATGCTGGGCAAGCACTGTAGTAATTTAGCTACATTCTCAGCCTTTTTTAGAAGTTTTTATTTTGAAACAGGGTCTTACAGTTGCCTGGCCTAATGACTTTGAATTTAGAATCCTCCTGCTACAATCTCCCATGTAGCTGGGATTATAGGTGTGTGTGTCCACACCCAGCTCAATCTACTATTTTTTAGAGTCTCATTTGGGTTGCTTTTTTGTCGCATACAAGTATTCAAGCAGTTACCTAAGATCTTCATAGACAACTGTAAATATTAATAGGATTTTGCTTGTATGTCATACAAAGCAAAACTAGAATGATGTGACATGCAATCTACTATGAATAGTCTCACGATTACCTAGATAAAATACCTAATAATTCACCAGGGTTAGTTGGAACCCTGCTAAAAATTTGAGAGATAACAACTTGGCTTTTCTAATCAATTAATCGTTTAAACACTTTGTTCAAGTTAATAGAATTAAAAATAAAATTTTGAACAGTTTGAAGACTATAGCACTTTAATATTAACAGTAGGTAGCACTAACTGCGATTACTTTGTTATCCACAAGAGGGAGAGCTTATATTTAGTAATGGTCTTAAATTTTTTGTAACTATAGGTTTCAGTTCAGGTGACTTGAAGGGCAAAAGACAAAATGATGACATGTGTTAATCATGGTGACCCAGTATTCAACTTAATCTAATTTTTAAGCAGTCTTAATTAAATTGAGTTTAAAAATATGTACTAGATGCTATTTTGTTATCACCCTTATATTTGTTTCTATGCCTAGCTGTTTTGAATTATTAGATGTGCTTGGTATTTCAATACCCTAACACTATCATAGGTGTTTTCTCCATGTCATATCAATAGTAAACTGTTCTTAAACTGTTTTATTGATGTCCTGACTGTGTGCATGAATTAGCACATGTGCAGTGATTATACCAAGTGCTTTATAATGTGAAAACATACCAAATGCCCAGAATTGAACCAAGGAATCAACAGTTCTCTTCACACTGTCTCCTGTGTAAAACATTAATTGTAGCAAACATCTCAGACATTTACTGGTTAAGAAGTGGTTAACTAATTTTTGTAAAGTAAATATTTCATGCCTTTCAAAAATCTGCAAAAAGTCATGTCTTTTTTCAGTGCACGAAAGGTTATCCAGTGACGTTCATAACATTTTTCTGCAAAGCAGTACAAAGTTTATAGTCTAAGTAGAATGAGAATATTTTAATAGAAAAGGTATTTAACCTTACACAATTCAAAATAATTGATATATTTGTTGATTCTCTAACTAGGATATTAAATTTAGATTGTAAGAGGGTTATTGCCTTGAAGTTTAAGTTTTGTATATGGCCAGGCAAAAATTGAAGCAAGAGGTGACATGTTTGCTTAGCTTGATTTCCTTATTACTAAAATTGTACTGTATCTCTCAGATGCAATATGGTTGTTGGGATGCTATGAGATCAGCTATTTTTATACTTAATATTTGTGTGTTCTTGTACAATGAAGTGAGAATATGTGCTGAAGATTTCAGTCTATTTAGTTTACAATTAAAAATCTAAAGAAAGTTATGACTATCAAGTTAGAATATTTAATGGAAAATAAAACCTTTAAAAATTAGATTTATATAATTTATATTTCCTCAGATAATTGAGATAAAATACTTTTAATAATAAAAATTTTGAAATGTTTATTTGTTTCATATAATCCTCCTTTTGTAGATTCTTCTTCCTTATGAGGGAATCATCTGGCTCTTCATGTCTTATGCTGTCATGTCACATTGGTTTAGAACCAACAGTATGAGACAACTCAGTCAAACATAAAGAATGTAATGTGTGAAACCTAAATTTTATTTTAATGTGGACTTGGGTATATATTTAGCAATTGATACATCATTTCAATTTACAATGTCAAAATAATTAAAAGATAAATACATGTATATATGATTATAACTTTATTCTTGATCAGATTTACAAATAAGCATATTCCTTATTACTTATAAATTATATTAACACCAGTGCACATTATAGACTGTAATAAAATATCAGTTCTGAAACCGGTAAGAAAACGTGGCGGTTAGAATACTTTTTTTAAACTTTCTGTTTAAGCATACAATTAATTGCTAGAAATTAAGAGGATGATGTTTTTCTTACATCTTTTCATATACAATGTCGTAATTATCTTTCAGTTGTTTAATTTACATCATCACAGAACTGACAGGAGCAGAAATATAGATCTGCTTGCTTCTGTTTTAAAGTTATTCCTTCTTGTTCATGAAAAGAATGAATACTAACTTCTTTAAAAAAATTATTTCAGTGATAATATGCAACATGCATACTGGGAACTAAAGAGAGAAATGTCCAATTTACATCTGGTGACTCAAGTACAAGCTGAACTACTACGAAAACTGAAAACCCCAACTGCAATCAAGAAAGGCAAGTTACTATTTACCGGAAACTACTCATTCCAGCTAAACTGCTTGAAGAACAGCTAGCCATCGTATCTTATCAAAATCTCATCAAATGAGTTTGATAAGTCATAGTATATTTAGTGTGTTCACAGCTACCCATTCTCTGCTTTGGCTTCAGTCTCATACTGGTCAACTTCACACATAAAGGTGTTGCTGATGTGTTTTTTCTTCAGTACTGTATTCTTTTCCCCTTGTGGCTTTTCTCAGCCAAGTGTTGCTTATGTGTATAAGGCTGAGGTGTTAAGTTTGCTCTAGTTGACCTTTTACCGCAACTACTTCATATATATTTTTTTAAAAAGCCCAAAAGCAATTTTTCATTCCAGTGCTACAGAATGTACCAGAGTCCTGGCTTTTCATGTTGTATGTTTTCAAAACAATAACTGATTCATTATTTATTTGCATTTTTTATAAACTTATTTTTTCTTTCTTATAAGAATAGCTTATTAGATGGGAGGCTAAGTGCTTCACCGCATCCCCTTCAACCAAAAATTTTCATTGCTTTGCTTTCATATTTAACTGTTTGACCAATTAAACTTTTTTGAGTTTTATGTTAGGTAGTTTGCCAAAACTATTCTTAATTCGATGGAGAAAAATCAGTGCATTTGTGCCTAGTATTACATAATAGTATTATTTCAAAAAAAGTAGTGTTCTATAAATTTGAATATTACTTTTTAAAGGAATGAGATAAGACTTTAAAAAAAATCAACACCTAATTTAAAATTGCTATTTGAATTTTCATTGTCTTGAGAGAACTGTATTTTATAAATAAGTTTTCCTCAGGAGTGTTTCTTAGTGAAGGAAAATGTTACATATAGGGAAGAAAAAATGAATTCAGAATTCCTTTTAGTTCAGGAGAGCTGGTTACTTAAGAATGAAGAGAAAATAATATGGTGTTCTGTGGTCTATGAAAAACTACAAGTAGAGGGTAGAAATAATACCTTTCTTTAAAGGGACACAATAATTTTGCAATGAGTTTTTAGTGTGGTTCTTTATTCACATAGTAAATATTAACTCCGAAGAATAATAAAGGAGCAGAGCTTAGAAGTGGTTTATCTGTTGTTCCTTCTTAGCTGGTTGATGATATATCTTCTTGATGCTTGGGACTATAAATTCACCAGCATATTTCCTTATACAGTGGCAGGCATAAAGTCACCACTCCTTACCACAGAGCTCATTGTTTTTGAGGAGTAGGCAGAAATAAGACTATAGATCACTGAGGTTTGTCCCCCCCCCCTTTTTCTGACCTATATAGTACCTCTGTCCAGAAGCTGAACACTGTTAATTCTGTTTATCCTCCACACCCCCATTCATCTTCCTAAGAAAAAAGACAATGAGCTTATTTTATACTGTGGTTCTGTTTGTCCTAAACTACATAGAGTAAATCCTTAGTTACAATTGGCCATCTTTGGGCTAAGTATACATTTATCTTTTAACCCTGATGAGTTAGAAATAGAGGGGAAGCCCATATTACCAATTGCTGGCTGTGGCCAAATAGGGTCTTTTTCTTAAGTCATTATTGCATGTATATGAAACATTTTTTTCCCTTTTTTTAAAAAAGATTTGACCTGTATTGTGACCACAGCAGAATTCACAGTTGCTCTTATAGGTTTATTAATAAGAAATTAATTTGCAACTTTTATTTTAACTGCTTTATCTATAAAAAGCCTTTAAATGTATATTAAAACTTCATTTGGCTCCTGACACTTAAAAATAGAATTATTTCTGGAAAAAAATCCCTATTGGAATATMCATGGAGAAAAACCTTGAATAAGCAAAGGAATATTATATTTAACTAAAACTTAAGAACAGCTTTCTCAGTCCCCACTTGCACACAATGATATACAAGCCTTCAACTAGTCACATTAATGGCCTAGAACAGGATCTTTATTTGTATCTTGAAAATATGAATTTCATTATCATTTCTAGGATTTATCGACTAATGAAATATTATATTTTATGATCACAAATGCCATGAAAACGGACATTTATTTAGCCTGTGCTTTCTTTTTAGCCTGCACACCAATAGGATGCATGGAAGACCTTGGGAAAGAAGGAACGAAACTGCACTTGACAAATTTCACTGCAACATACAAAAGACATCCCCCTCTGTCACCAAACGGCAAAGCTCTCTGTCATACTACATCTTCTCCTTTACCAGGAGATATAAAGGTTTTATCAGAGAAAGCACTTCTCCAATCATGGACAGATAATGAGAGATCCATTCCCACTGATGGTACAGACTTTCAGGAACACAACTCTTATGGCAGAAATTCTCTGGAAGATAATTCTTGGGTATTCCCAAGCCCTCCTAAATCAAGTGAGACAGCATTTGGGGAAACTAAAAGTAAAACTTTGCCTTTACCCAACCTACCACCATTGCATTACTTGGATCATCATAATCAAAACTGCCTTTATAAGAATTAATTCTGAAGAGATTCATGATTTGATCATGAGGACACTCTCTCTCTCAATGGTTCTCCAAGGAAGTTATTTAACAAACTGAAAGTGGGCTTTGATTAAAATTTTGCAGAGTTCTTCAGTATATACATTCAAACACACTGTACGATATTATGTAGTTGATTTTCTAGTATGAAAGAAGAGTACCTCCAGCTCCATATTCTAAGAATCACATATGTGTTACTGTACTAATTTATAAACTTAAGGTGTTTCAAAAAGACAATTCTACCTTTGATAAAAATTGTAAAATTTTGCCTCGAAGATAAGGGAATTGGATATTTTTAGACATGGTTTTATGAAGTGTGTGAAAGGCCTAGACATCTATCCATAAAAATAAAAGGAAGCCTTGAAAACAGGGAAAAAACCATGTTCACTGGTTCAGATATGCATAAAGGAGCAAATGGCAATGCAAATAAGTTAATATTCTATTGACTTTATGATGCATAGAGATAAGAAATATCATAATGGAATAAAAATGACTAGGTCATTATATCTCTATGGTATTGTGTTTTAGACATTAAGATTTAAATAATAATACTTTAGAATTGCAATTTGAATTCTAAGACTTGAAATGACCATTGAAGCCAGCTTTGTCCCAGTACATTCAAGTCCTAAATGGATAAAAAGATGAAATAGTTAACAAACTATGTGGTATGTGAATAAACTATTATAACCTTATACACCATTCAATTAGAAGTAGAAAGAGCATCTTAAAAGTTTTGAGTCTAATCTGTCCCTCTGGTGGTCCATAATGAAAATTTAAATGTGTATAACTGTATAGTCATTTTCTTCAAAGGGAATATTGCTGCTTGTTGTATAAAGCAGTTTATAAATTGTTAGACTTTGTTTTGAAATGTAGTACTTGAGAAAGTTATTTTTGAATTACAAAATTTCACTCTAGAACTAAATTTTGTGCTGCATTGATATAGTACAATCATGAAATATCCCCAAACTCATTCTAACAGGTCATTTGTAAATAAGTAAGGAAATAACAAAGGTGGCTTCACAGGAAAATTGACCTGAATTCTTTCAGGATAGAAATATTAATAATAGTAATAATATTTTACTTGGTTCATACACCTTTTGCCTAGGATACAGTGTTTCATGTAGGAAGGACTTTATCCTTTTTGATAGACAGTTCATATATCTTAAATTCAAAAGAGTATCACAGATCTTTTCCATATTATTGAATAGCATACACAGACAATGTTCACCATTCTTTTTCTCTATTATCTTACTCACTTATTCAAGCTTGTCTGTGATTAATGGAATTGAAGTCAGATGCTGGAATTTATTCTGACCAGCGAACACAGCTGACTCAAGGGAGTACAGTCTTCTGCCAAGTAATAGAACAAAACCCAATATGCATAAAACAAATATAAGATTCCAGGCTTTAGCTGAAGGAAGCAACTACCTGTGTAATAACAAAGCAGCATAAACTATTTCTCATGTGGCTGCATAGGCTGTATATTATCTCTAATCTCTAATGTGGCTTACTGGTTTGCCTTTTTTAAAACCATGATTGGAAATTTCCCTTCGTAAAGTCAGTCAGTCTTACGAGATAATGGCTTGATTAATGTTTTGAACAATGCCAAGAAATTGTTTAATTAAAATTATTTTTGTTTGAAATGGAAGTGGATGTGAAATAATATCCTTGCTTATATACTACAAGGTCTGGTACTGATTGTTAGTTGTTAATTTGATTCGTATAACAGACATTTGTCTTGTTTAATTGACTTTGAGTGGAGAAAATTCCCTCCAAAAGACAGTGATGATAGCAATCAAACAGGTATGCTATTCTTACTAAAGTCTAATGCACATTTAGCACTTAAACTATTAAGAATAGTCATTGAATTACTTCTTACTAAAGTCATATGCACATATAATACTTAAACTATTAAGAATATCAGTGATGTTCTTAATAGTTTAAGTGTTAACTGTGCATAAGAATTAATCAAAAATATTTTACCCACAGAAAATTTTATCATCTGTTCTCATTAAGATTCAAAAAGAAATGATAAAATTGGCCCATCTGTGGCTTACAATCTTTTTAAAATGGAAACTTTTATGTCGATCTCTTATACTAACTAAACACTCCAAAAATTTTAGATTTCTTTTTGTAAGAACCGAGTTCAACACATCTATAACCCAACAATATAGAGAGAACACAAATAATTTTTAAAAAGCTACATTTCCTTCCTCTTATTAGCTTGAGGTAGAATTTATTTCTCTGAAAGGAAGATTCTTTTATTGACTATCTGCCAAAATGGAACTGAATTCACATGTAGAATAGTGACATACCTATGTGAAACATTAGAAAATAAATAGTAAATTCATTGAATCGTGGAGGAAAGTTATGACCTTTATCCAGAAAAGCTACTTGGAAAAGGTAAATTTTAAAGGGTAACATCCTATGAATTGTCACATACAGACGGAATATAAACAAAGGTACCAGTAAGCAAGCAAAGTACAACTGCCTCAGTCCAATAAGTAGACTTGAGTGTGGTGAGGCATRAATAAAGTCTCCAATGAATGGTTCGTTTTTGCTATGAGAAAGAAGGATGAGTACACTGTATAATTTGTCTAGTACCTATGGAGGATGTGACATCTATATAAGCTAATTTTCCACATAAAATTGAAGTTGTCTTGTGCAACGCCCTGGATTTGATCCCCAACACCAACAAAAACAAAAATTTGAAGTTGGCTACTTTAATTTTCATTAAAATAGTCACAGACTGTATATTTGTACCAGCCTCTGTAACTGTTTTGCCTTTTCTCCATTTGAGTCACTTAAAAAAAAGAAAAATGACAGTCCTGTGCTTTAGGAAATGTATCAGTATCAGAAGGTGAACAGGGGAATATAGGCTTATTAGCCCCTATTCTGTGTGGACTCCAGATTTTGATATTTGCTTTATTTTTGTCTGTTCTACTAATCTCCCTCCTTTTGATCTGTGGCCTGGGAAAAGTGTAGTTCCTTTGTATTTCAAATAAGAGTAAAATCATTCTTTGAGTGGTTAACTCAAGAGTATGAGTAAAGTGGGAACTTGAACATCCATTGATTGTATTGCATTTAAATTATTAAGTCCTTTTTTTCCCCTAAATCAGCTATTTCATGGGATTGGGACCAAAGTTAAATCTTGTTTTGTAATTAAGTTTCTGGTTTTGATTTTAATGAGGACTATGTGGAAACAGAAAATTTACTTATCTGTAAACTGGTTATAGTGGCTGTGGTGCACAGCTAATAGCTCCTGGGGTTGTGGGTGGGGGGGATGACTTTTTAATATAATATCAGCCTGGGCCCAAATTATGGCATTGGGACAGAAATTTATTACATTACTTTCTGTGTCCACTATTTTACAAGGTATGTTTATTCATCCTAAGGATGAGTTTTTAAAAAGAAAAAGTATTTTCAATAATCAAGTTAACATAATTAACTTGATCAAAAAACAATTTCTTTTTTTTTTTTTTTGAGAGTGAGTGAGAGAGGAAGAGAGAGAGAATTTTTAATATTTATTTTTTAGTTCTCGGCGGACAAAACATCTTTGTTGGTATGTGGTGCTGAGGATCGAACCCGGGCCGCACGCATGCCAGGCGAGCGCGCTACCGCTGAGCCACATCTCCAGCCCATCAAAAAACAATTTCAGGAAAAAAAATCCATCAAAGAATGTAAGTAAAATACATATATATACTTATCTATGCTTTCAGATAAGCCTTATTACGTAGTACTAACACTACCAATTAGAAAGTGTTTACCACATCTGGAGCACTGTCCCATACGAGATATACACTTGCTATATTCAACAAATTCTCACAATAGCTTTTGAGATTCACTTTCACAGTTACAAATAGTCAATAGGTTGTGAAACTTCAATATTCTGGTTCCTAGCCATTGTGCTACACTGCTTAGTTATTATCAACACCTTTAAAGGTTGTTTCTGCTATCATTTAATACTTTGATCCCTATGATTAGCTTTTTCCCTGTACAATGGAAGAAGGTAAAGTCCATGTGGAACTCTGGAAATCATTAGCACTGTTCATAGAACTATAATTGTGGAAAAGCTTGTGAAAAATTCAGAATGATCAGGAAAACCATATTTCATCCCAGTATTTACTCCTATCCCATATTTAATAAATCAACTTTGAAATAATGATCTTTATTTCTTATAAATTATTATTTTCATAATTAGAATAAAGCAAACACATTCGAGTCCATTATTTCAGATGATTTATATTATAAAATACTTTTGTGAATATGAGATTCCTGTCATTTTAATATCTGTCTACATGCTTGTAGGTAGCTTCTGTAGCCTTTTCTTAGTAGGAATTCCAGTTTTTCTGAATTCTTCCCTTTCCTTCAGGTATTCCATTTTGCATTCTTCATAAAAAGCTGGATCATTGTAGCTACAAGAAGGAAATGAAAATCTCAATTTTAATTATAAGCAGTAAACAATGATATTCAGATATCTAGTACATCAGGTTCAATCTTCAGAAGCAGACTTTTATTTAGAAGTAGACTTTTATATATTGGTCACAAATTCAGTGTGAACATTAAGTTATCAAATTAATGAAAACATATAGACCTAAAGATTCTATTTTTTTTTTAAAGAGAGAGTGAGAGAGGGGGGAGAGAGAGAGAGAGAGAATTTTTAATATGTTTTTTTTTTTTTTAGTTCTCGGCGGACACAACATCTTTGTTGGTATGTGGTGCTGAGGATCGAACCCGGGTAGCACGCATGCCGCTTGAGCCACATCCCCAGCCCTAAAGATTCTATTTTTAACTGTACATATTAATATAAAGATTCTTTTATACAGGGAACTATCACAGATTTGAGCAATGATAAGCACAGCTCCTATCCTCAAAGAACCTATGGTATTACAGGGCAGACAAGTGAAGACTGAACTACAAATAAGTGTAAAAACTGTTGTGACAGATACAACCCAGGATACCACAGAAACATGAGTTAGAAGTCATGAAGAAATGCTTAAGATGAATTATGTAGGACCAACAGAAATCCATATAAATGGCACACAGATGAGGAAAAGCTGGGATGCATGAAGAATGCAAGGTGATTGCTACCACTACAGTGGCTTACACATAGCAGAAAGGGCCTGATACAAGCATGGAATGTTAAAGGCCAAATAATTATGGGCCACTTATACCACACAAAGAAATTAAAATCTATCCTGAAGGCAACAGAACATGATGAACAGAAAATTTTGTGTCTTTGGATGAATCTGACAGCATATTGCAGATAGGCTAAAAGGCGGCAGTAAGGTTAGAATCAGGAGTAATCCAGGCAAGAATGAATGAGGGCCTAGGCCAAATAAGCAGCTGTAAAAATGAAAAGGAAAAATTAGATTTGGTGAGACACAGGAACTCACCAATTAGAGTTAGCAGATAACTCTCTAATTTACAAAGACCCATGATGTGGGTAGAGCAAAAGGGAGTCAGGTTCAGTTTGTTATCTGAAGAAAGCAGAAAAATTTCATTATCTATAAGTGATTTAATCCATGGGTACAAACTGAACTTTCTTAGAATTAAGAATGAGAGTAGAACCCAGGGAAATATGAACTTTAAGCAGTAGGTTAAGGGRAAAAAAGATTGGGAAGTACAAAGAAATATTTGAGAATCAAAAGATCCAAACAATAGAAGTGATTTTTAAGAGAAAGGTCAAGTCCAAGAGCACTATGTGTTTGATTTAACTAGAGTCGTTAGGAATAAGATTTCAGTAGAGTCAGGGCAGAAATCAGATCACAGTATGTCAAGGAATAAATGAAGATGAGGTAGAAATAAAGGAGCACAAACCATTAACATTTCAAGATGTCATTAAGAATAGTGGTTACATTCATGGAATGTCAAATAGTAATTAATAAAGCAGAGAATTTCTTACTCAAAGATGACACAATATTTCTTGAGTATTCTGGATCTAAAGTAAAATTTCTCTTAATAACTTTCCATTCACATCCTGTGTTTCTTTCACTGCTTCTCTCTCTTCTAAACCAACAGAAGCAGTTGCCTCTCTCTACACCCCTTCCCCAGATCCACTAAAACCTATTATTTCCTGTTTTTAGCAGATGTGAAATAAAATTCCCATGATTAATATTGAGGTAACAAAATAAATACCAATCTAATAACAAGTACAGATCAATAAGAGCTAACATTTACTGAGTACCTAGTACACTAGGCACCGGGGTAAATGTGTTCACATAGAGTACTTCACAATCATTCCAGGAGAGGCATCCCTTCTCACAGTGAGGGATCTTGTCCAAGTTTACAAGGCTAGCTAAACTCACTCACTGATTCAGAAGCTGAGCTCAGGCTGCCCTCAGGCTGCCCTCTCTACAGTCTGTGTTCCTGTCTACTCTGCTCTAGAACCAGCCCATTTGGAGGGTGGGATAATATGTCAAGGTAATTATTATGATGACTGAACTAGAGGTAAAAAATTCTTCATCAATATATAAAACAAGTTCAGACACATGAAGTTTAAGTGATTATTTATTAAACATCTCTTAGATGCACCAGCAACAAAACTGGAAGAACAATATATCAGAGAATTAATTCTTTTACAGTAAAGTGCTTAGTACTGTTTTGGGCCCAGATGTAAAGAGCTGCTATTGATATTAACTTGAGAAAAAATGAATATTGAGTATTTCCTCATCTATAAATGTACAGATGAGTTTAGATCATCTCCACAGTCTCATCTATAGCATTCTAAACCTGTAAGTTTGTGTACATGTAATTTGTTATTTTAAAAATATGGGATTCAGATCATTATTATTTTATTTAGTCCCCTAAGAAAGATCAAGCCATACTGATACATACATATAGTTCAGAGGCTTGAAAAACAGAGTATAAAAGTAAATAAGAGCTTGCCAAAATTAAGATCTCACAACTATCAACAGTACTTTCTAATATATTCTGCAATATTATCTGTCAGTAATGTGGATAATAAAACAGAGATAAAACAGAAAGCACATGCATGCATATTTTCACTTCAGGTCTAAAGGAACTACAATGAGATATTGGTGAATATAACATTAAAATGCTATTTAAAAATTGATTAACTTCAAAAAAATCTAAATTTTGTGTTTTTCATGTGATTTATTGTAATTCTAAAAGTTAAAATTATATAAATCACAATATAAAGATATTCTAAATTCAGTTTCTTTCTGTTAGATGAAATAAACAAAAAAATCAGTCTATACCGTATTCTATAAATCAACCTGTTGACAAAAAGAGATTTGTTAGGTGTTACGCTAAGTCATATATTTTTGTTTGCTGACATATTTTTAATCAGACACAATGTTGACAGACAACTTGAAAAAATCATTTAACAAATATGCAAGTTTTTTTTTCTTTTAGAATAAATTTTCAACATGCTGCAATTTTAGATTCAGCCAAAAAGGTGAAGAATTTGGTTAGGGGAGGTACAGAATGTATTACCTGTAATGAGTTAAGTAACACACTCTTACACACACACACACACACACACACACACACACACTGAAGTAACTACTTACTAAGCAGTTAGACATTCTTTCAATGCAGAATTTTCTTTCTGGCATTTTACTACCATGAGGATGCCAGAGTCCTTGCAACATTTTGTAAAATCTGAAATTTAAAAATTGGAAACAGAAATATAATTTGTAATTATATCAATAAAATTTTAATAGTTCTAAATTATTAACAACATAAACTGTGCCTTGCACATAGTACGTGTTCAACAAATGACATGCACACTAATAAAAGGCAGAATAAGTTGAGTATTGTTCACTTTGTAGAAATAAATGATATTTGAGATAAGGGAGACAAGGACATCTGAGGTAAAGGTGAGAAAGAATGTAGATTCTCAGAAGCATTTCTAGTAGGGAAAGGGCATATTCTAAGGGAATTAAATGCTTAAGGAGTCAAAGGGAATTGTTTCTAGACACTGATGTCCAGGCTTAGTATATCTCCTCAGTACATGACAGAGGTGGTGGATCCCAACCTGTTGGCATCAAAGGATCCCCTTTCTTTTAAATAAGCTAGTGATGGTATCGTAACTTCTAATATTTCATTCTCAAGTCAACTCTTGATTCCCCAGAAATTTCAAATGGTTTTCTGTTAGATTCCCATTCCAGTATCTTACCTTTTAAATTGCACTAACACCTTTGGTATCTGTCTTTTCAGGACTATCAACTTAAGTTTGGCACCATATTCTACCCACAGCTGAGCCACTTGCTACTCTTGTCTTGTAGTTAGGTCAGAATCAATCCCACTATCCTTTCCACATTACAGTGTGCTTTTGCTTGCAGCCACCTTCCTGGACTATTCTGGCCCTTTCTTCTGACACTGGCTGATCTAATTCTAGGCTGTGCTACCTCTAATCTGCTTGCTATCAAGTAATCAGCCATTTCTATTTCAGATTGTAAAACACGACATTAGTCTCACAAAGAAGCTGTAGACCAAAAAGAAAAAAAA